TCTTAAATAGTTTGTTCTTACAACTGTCTCGTAGCCCAAAGCATGTTAAAGATTATGCCAAGTACTGAATCACAATAATAAAAAGGAATTAATTACCTATGAAGCATCCCATATACATATAATATTATTGTCACGCCTAGGAGAGAAATGACTAGTGTATATATATATCACTGTGATGCATCTTTAAATCTTAGGGGAAGAAAACTAAAAATATCAATCAAAGATAAACTTTCATACAGTGGCGGAACTAGGTAAGGAGGAGGGTGGTCAATTGACCCCCGTAACTTTTATAAAATTTTCTTTGTGCATGTTTCAGTTAGTGACAGTTGGATGATTTGGTATTAAACTTGTGTAATTGACCCGCATGATATGTGTTCGACCCTTTCTTTTTGAACCTTTTTAATTATTATTTTTCCTTGATGTGCTTGTTTTTTACATGTGTTAACAAATATTGCCCCCATAAAAACAAATCTTGGCTCCGCCACTGCTTTCATACTTTTTTTTTTTTTGAGAAAGGTGATAAACTTTCATACTTTCGGATTATTATTTTTTTCCTTGTTTTGTGAAGATGAGTTCCGCAAAAAGTAGGGGAGAATATTTAAATTACAAAATAATTATGTTAGGCGATTCCAACGTTGGAAAATCAACTCTTTTATCTCGTTTTACCACTGACGAATTCGAAATGGAGATAAAATCGACCACTAATGGTGTTGAACGGATGATTCGCTATGGCTACTTGGATGATAAAGTCATCAAATTCCAATTTTGGAAGACTAATAGTCGAGAACGGTCTGACCACAAAACTTTTTTTTTTTTTAAATCTTTTCGTTTTCGGTCGAACTGAATCAAAATCGTATTAAAAGAACTAAACTAATGAAGACAAAAATCAATTAGTATTATTTTCTGATTAGGTGAAAAAAAAAAAAAAAGTTCAACCAAATTATTATGTTTGATGGTTTCCAACTCAAATCAATTACCAATAAATGGATTGACTAATTTCATATAATATATGTATAAGTTTAAACCAAACCAAAAACTACAAAAATCCAAAAACCAAGTTTACGGTATTGAACACTTCTTTTACATGCCTTGTTTATTCTCTTACTACAGTCTATACTATTAATGCTCTCTTTTGCTTTTTGTTTTATGTATGCATACAGACCGCTCACAAACAGTTACTACAGCGAAGCCGTAGTGGCTCTAATTTTATATGATATTACGAATCGCACATCGTTCAAGAACGTGGAAGGATGGCTCAAAGAACTCCGTGACCATACCGATCCCGATACCGTGATTGGCCTCATAGGAACCAAGTCTGATCTTTGTCATCTCCGAGCTGTCACCAAGGAAGAAATCACATCTTTCGCGTTGAAAGAGCGTGTCCTATGCATAGAGACCTCGGCTCTTGATGACATCAACGTCAACACAGCTTTTCACTGTCCCATCACCCAAGCTCTGAGAATAAAAGGTCAATACGGTGAACTAAGGACTAACTTTTGCATGAAAATTAACCGAATGAACCGATAGTCCATTACGGTGTATAAGGATTTACCGTCTACATATATATGGCCTTTCGGTATTTGTATTTGGTTCTTGTTCTTGATATAATAAATGAATGAAGATTTGATACTACAAAAGCAAATTTGTCATTGGTTTTGAAACCGAAAAACTTTGAGGATACATGAACCCTTTTTAAAATACAAATATCGGGGTTTCGGATCAAAACCAGCTACTCGGAATGGTGTAAACCGAGGAAAGTTGTGAAACTGCAACTCATGGTACTGAGGTAAGGTAGATAGGAAAGACTATCCCATGAGCACAAGTGGTGGCCACCATAACTTGGCTTTTTTAAGAAAATCAGAGCAGATGCAAGGAGGAGAGGTTCCTCTTGTAATGAGTAATAAATCAGATAACCATTACTCGTTAGAAAATATGATCAAATTTCAGTAAATAATTATTGGTGTTATATTTGAACTACATCCAATCTGAATAACTAGGATTGCTTGTGCTTTATTTGGGTTCTTTTTAAAACCAAACCTAGTAAAAAGGAAAAAAGACGAGATAGCTTAATAATGTATTAAGATCGAGAGATCCACACGATCACCGAGTAAAATAGCAAAGATTTTTAATCTTTTTATCAATCGAAAAAGAACAAAGTAAAAACAACACTTCTTAATCGCATAAGAACTGATGAGGAGTTTTTCTTTTTTACTTCTATAGTAGGAAGGTTTTTCTAGAGTGATCACTTCTCATTTGCGTGCATCGACTTTCTTAGCGTCTCTAGCTGCAATAAACCAAGACATTAAGATCAGAAAACTGAAGAAAAATATTCTTGTTCTGAAATGGAAGTATCACAAAATGTGTTTTAGAAGATTTTACCTGCTTTTTCCTCTTCACGCTTTTTGGCAGCTTCTTCTCTCTGTTGGCGAATCAAAGCCAAACGATCTGTACATACAACACATGATAAGATCATCGATAAGCCCATTAGGAAACAAAGGAAGAAACATGTGAGACCAAGCGTTGTTTACCCAAATCCTTTCTTGCTTGTTCGGTTTTGCCTTGCTCTTGCAACCTCATGTATCGCTCATGAGCTCGCTGCTTCTCAAGCTCCTCTCTGCAAAATTAAGAGAAGGACTATAATAGACAGAACTGAAATCAAGAAGTTCCTTAATAAGAACTGTTGACTGATAAAGAGCTTAAGAGTGTTCGGTAGTAGCAACAAACCTTTCACGCCTCGAGAGTTCAGTGGTTTTACTAGCCTAATTAAACAAACGGGAAGAACAGAACAAAAAAACTCAAAGTTATTATGCCAAAACATACATACATTTGCAGATTTACAGAAACTGATTACAACATAGAGAACTTACATCAAGGTCTCTAGCTTTTAAGGTCTTTGGTTTAGCTCTGTTAGGGTTATCAACTTCGATTAGAGCTTCATGTCCTTTCTTCTTCACCTGATATAACATACCGAGTAAAGATGAATTTTCCCAACAATGATAATAAATGAGGTTACATAATAACATGAAAGGGTTTTCACTCACATCAGCTTCGTCTTCAGATTCTTCTTCAGATTCCTCCTCAGAATCCTCTTCAACATCTTCTCTCTCAGCTTCGTACTCAGCTTCTTTCTGATAATGTCACCAAAAGGTAAAACAATTCACCACACAGTAAGATCAACAAAAGTATCAAACCTATAAGTAAAAACTACAAAAATACCTGTTTGAATGATCGTGGACGAGCAGCAGAAGTGCCAGCAACTACAAAACCCACAACAAAGAACACCACACCAGTTGTTAAAAATCTTTTATTCATGCACATCAACCAAAAAATGGACCAGATAACACTAAATTGTACACATCTATGATCATATACAACAACATCATCCATAGAACAGTGAACAACTCTTGAAAATCTATGTAACAGAGAATCATAAGAAAATCCTGAATCCTTAAAACACAGTTTAGTGGAAACAAGCTCGCAGTTCCAAGGTGGCTAATAAATCGAGACCAATTAGGGGATTCCACAAAATCAAGCAATGGAGAACATCGCCAAAATTTTCATCAAACTTATATCACAACCAAATTTATCTTGTGAAAACTGATTCGAGCTCAAAACACACTCGAAATAAAACCACACAACAGTATATCAACCCTAAACGTATGATTACGATCTGTAGAACACAAAATCAAGACTTCAACATTACAATAACGAGCAAGAATAGGAAATTCCCAATCCAAGTTAGGCTAAAATCGAGCGAAACCAGAACCAACATCAAGCAAACGATGATAAACCCAGAAATTACCTCTTCAAAGGTATTACACAAAACCGATTCATATACGAACTCAAAAATCAAAAACCCTAAACTCATTAGTTACACAAACGATTATCTGACTCTTCTTAATCCATATAACAACAACAAAACGGTTGCAAAATCCTTACGTATGTCAGCTGCACTTGAGAATCGGCGTTGGCCGGTAGGTTTGCCCTTGAACTTGCCTCTTCCCATCGTTTCAGAAAAACCCAAAATTCACGAAAGAGAAGAAAATCAAAAGAAACGCAGAATTTGATTCTTGACCCAGAAAACGAATCGATTCGAATTGGAAAAAGATTGATTCTTTGTTTTGAAATTAGTGGAGGATCTCGTCCTCTCTTCTGGTCACGCGACTCGGAGAGACGAAAACCCTAGCCACCTGTGAATTTTGGAGATTCTTGCGTTTCAGTGTACTTTTGGATTTGTTTCTCTGTAACACGGTCTATTAAATAACCGTGTGGTGGTATTAGATCGAACGGTCATTAGATCTCGTTTCCCTGTTATTTAAATGAGACATAACGACGTCATTTATGTTTTTCAGATAGCAGATGTTTTGATCAACTTGCAATTTAATTACTAGTTGCTACAACTTGGTTATGGACGAAGACTCGCTATCTGTTTATTTGTTTTTG